AACTTATTCCACCTTACAATATAAATATACTGACAGGCAAGGCAGGTGACACAATGAAGAAAGTCACTTACTAGGCATGACTAGGGGATATTATCCTGCCAGTGTATCATCATATTTTACAAGATAACATTAAAGGAGCTACGTCACGGTTGGCGCATCTTGAAAAAATTGGCCAAAGTTCGCCATTCACAATCCGTCTTAATCTTCTCCATCCTCAACCATCCTTGTCCCTGTTTGGTTTATTATTACCTCTTTGGTGTTTTTCTACCTTAGTAAACTATTATTTTGAGGCTTTCTTCAGTTTGAAGGTGATTTTGCACTTCGCAAAAATGACTTAAAATATCGTGACAAAGCTCCTTTAAAACAAATGTATGGTAATTCTATAAGAAGAGCTCATTTCGAGATATCGCTTTGAACTGTAACAATACTCTTGTTTTCAAATTGTTCACTACAGTAACTTGTGTACCGCCTCATGTCCCTCATAGAGTCTCCTGTTGCCTCGGTTTGCTTTTATATTTTTCTCAGCAACGAAATTATAAGACTGACTTTATTGAGCTGTCGACAACACAATAAATACGCACATCTGCTACTAGCTCAATAAAGTCGCGTTATCAGCTAAAGCCGATTCAGTAATCAAGGAGTTACCCTGTGAGAATAAAGGCCGCTTACTTACTTCTTTTAAGAGTATACTCCTTACCTATTACGGGTTAGCACGGTATAAAGATCTTGACGGATTTGTAAGAAACTTGGCAGAAATAAATATTCACTTGTCGACTATTCGAAACACTTCCGTCCTAATACTTTCGATCTTTATAAGATCGGACCTCAAAATATATTCAAGAGTAGCAATAAAAAACATCGAATAACCCTAAAACTCTTTTTAACGCTAGTCGTCATCTGGAAGTTGATATTGTGCGGGTGTTTTCGTTAGTAGATAATTCAATTAAAGCCCTGTCACTCAGATGTATTCGAATGATCTCTGGAACCTTGATATTAAAGGGACACTGTCCTCATTTTTAGCATGATTTTGGAAGCTCAGAAACATATCTAGATCATAGGAAGCTGAACAATAATGGTTTGATTCTGAAAGAAAAGTACTTGACAAATGACAGGAACCCATCAGTTAGAAGTGAGGATGACTAACGACAGCGAGGATGGAAATGGATTACAATATGGATTTTTGAAAAAATGACAGGCTGTCAGTTTTTCAAAGTTTCAAGTTTGGCTCGGAAATCTTTGAAATTTTGCAAAAATGTTGTTGCAGTATGGAATTTCTTCAAGAAATTGCTTTTTATCATTTAGTTAGAGTTTATTAAGGGCTTAATTATTCCATAAATTTAGGGACTATTTCGTGCATTTATAACAGTTTTGAGCAAATACGCCGGGACAGTGTCCCTTTCAGTAAGGTTTGAACAACTTTCACGTTTTTGTTCTGAACGACATCTACGAATTTCAACGAGAAAATGACACATATGCCACACACAGAAAACGTTTTTTGATTGAGTACCATAATTTAAACCTTATTCACTGGCTAAATAAGATCGTGCACATGCAAAAGATAGTAGCTACTCACCAGTCCATTCGTTCTGTGCGAGATCGAATCAAAGAATGAAATGAAAATAAGGCTAATTATCACATGGCATACAGCTCCGCGCACGTCATGCATGGAAAATAGTCCCACGCGCTGACGTGAGCAAGTCCATACGGCTTTTTCCGGCCCGCACTGGTCCAGAAATAAGTTTATTCGTCAGGCTTGCTATTCAGCGTGTGCTAATCGACATGGATCGATGTTTTTGCGGCGTATTTACCAACGCTTTTTTTACATTTTTACAACGTACACATCTAATGACGGGTAATAACAGTACTTTTTGACTTGAGGGGTTGCACGTCATTCATGGGCAGACAGACTCTGTCAATACGTCATCAGTCATACGCACAAAAGCGCGGGAAAATGATTATTCATTCCAAGGCTACTAAAACTAAGTGCAGCACAACTGAGAAATGACGAAGCGTTATCCACATACACGGGGCCAATATATTACTATCTATCAATACCACCCTCCCACCTCTCCACAGTAGTTGCTTTTTGACATCCCGCTTTGAAGTCAAATTCAACAGAGCCCGGTTGTTCAAAAGATGAAAGACTGCATTACGCACGCTCTCTGATTGGATAACAAAAATCCAGAGAATAAAACGGTGTTGCTTTCCCTTATAACTTTAGCTTCGTGATTTGGAAATTGTAAAGCGTTGCTGTGAAACTTTCAAGCAGCGAAATGAAAATCGAAATATGCTAATCATAGGTTATATGCCGCCAAGTGGCGGTGCACGACAAAGCTGCTGGAATATAGTTTTACCGGCCATACAGATCGGATCAAGACTGGTACCTTACAATTCCGATAATATAAAGTAAGCTCAAACAAGCCCAAGTCCTACTGACATATTTGAAGGGCAAAATATAAAGCGTTCTGAGCAACTCAGCCAAGCCAAACTGACTCACACTGCCGGAGCTTATCTCGGTTTCTGTAGCATGAAGCCGACTAGGAGTATTGCTACTCTCCCTGGATGGGATGCTAGTCCCTTGCAGGTTACCCCCGCCATTTTGTCGCCGGAACCCATTTATACTCCTGAGTGGAGAGAGGCACTGTGAGAGTAAAGTGTCTTGCCCAAGAACACAACACAGTGACCCCAGCCAGTGCTTGACCCGGACCGCTCGATCCATGAATCCAACGCGCTAACCATTAGGCCACCGCGTCAGCCCAGAGCTTATTAGCTGAATTTGATGGTATTTTAGGAAAATGACAAGAAAAACAAAAATTAACGTTAATCGACGACGTTTCGATGTTTCAAACGTCATTCACAAGTCAAAAATGCCATCGAGTGTTGAAAAAGGAAATTTTGAAAACGCGCGCACAATTGATCATTCGTATCAATATCACAATTAAGATACATCGTCGAAATATTTCGAGAACATCGAGTTGGTTAAAAAATAACAATTTGCCCAAATTTTAACTCTATAGTGTTTTTCATAGCCACAGTGGCAGAAAAAATATTTAGAAAATTACAGTATTAAATTAGTATGCACTCGTCCTGTTGGTTCACTACCATGACAGCTATGATGAAAGTATACAAGTGGTATAGAAAGCAAATCTTGTTATAAATATTGTACGTTTTCACTTGTAAACTTCTTAGAGACAAGACAGGATAAATACTCTATTTTTTTTATCATACCTGAACGTCTTGATTTGGGCGACTTTCAAGATATTACACACCCATCCGTCATTAACTTTAAAGCGTAATAACTTCAAATCAAAGTCTGTACAAAGGGCAGACACGACTCAATTGGCCGCCATTCAAAGCGCAATTCGATTTTGTTTATCCGTCTAATGAAATTCTTTCATCGAGACAATGGGTGCCCTGACAGCACTGGGAGGTGTCAAATGTGACGGTACAAAGCTTCTGGAGTCATACCCAGGGGAAAATCCCATATGAAAGTGACAGGGATAGTCGTCGGGAATTTTACAGTGCAAATCAGAAAAGCTGGATTTTCCTTTGCCAAAAATTGGTCTATTTTTTCCTGTAGTTACTTTATTGTTATTTTCGCAAAGCTTTTCTGCAAAAAAGCTCAAAAACAAAGTACAAATTTGAGTTTTCTGACTATTCAGTTCTTGCGGTTTGATCATGTCAAAGTTAAATCAAAGTGTTCACGCCTTTTTGATTCGCACAGTATAACAGGAGCCCCTTTAAAAAAGGTAAATCTCGATTTTGGGTGTAGCTCAAATCTATTTTACACTTTAGAGAAAGAGAAAGGTATCTCTGACACTCATAGTAGCCTTGTCCCGTTTAATACTTTCAATTTTAGCTGCTTTGGCACTGCTATTTTTGGAGCTGTCACAACTAAAACATGAAAAGACACATTTACAATGAAATCCAGCATGTTTTATTATACAAACCATCATTTCAAAAGCAGAACCTGTCTTTTTACAATTCTTTAGTACCTTTGTATTAGTAAAATCATTATTGGTTTTACAAAAAAAAATGCACATGCCAAAAATTACACAAATCTGAGAAAAAAAAATTCAACAACATTATCACATGATTGTTTCGCTGGAAATGCTTCAATTAGACTGTTTGGTCTTGGTTTCGATTGACTACTTTGATAATATTGATTAACCAATAGAACCTCAAGCTGGCAGTGTAAAATAATTGATAATTTGAGTTCATTTATTAATAATAAAGGTTTGACCAAACCAATATCCAGAGATACATGTAGTACTTCTTAAAGTTTAAGGTAACAAAATAATGGAATGTTAACGTTTTTAAAATGTTATTCAAAATGTAGACTTATTGAGCCTTTCCATAACACAAAAACTCTGAAGTTCAAAACCCAACTAATTGTTGCATTTTTCACTGCCGTCAATCATAATTATGATGATGGACCCTGGAACAAAAAAGAAACAAACAAAATGGATCGAAATCTACCAATCACATCCGCTAAGATGATTGACGACAAAAAAAAATGCAACCGTTGTTTGAGCAGAATTTGTATGTTAGCAAAAGGCGAAATAATACAAATTATGAACAAAATAGTAGATCTTTAATAACAGGCTTTCTTTCATTTTTCAGTCCTTTTAACCTTGCAAGAGTATAGGAAATAGATAGGAAACACCATCGTGTTGATACTAACAGTCCAAATGAATGGTTGCAACAACCCACAATAGTTTTGATATAATGTCCACACCACATTTTATAATTACAATAAGTTACAACTTCTTTCTTGTTTTCAGAGCACTACAAGAAAACTTGTCCTGTTGCCATCAACCAGAACATCCTCTACAGCCACATATTACGCACTCCACAATCTTTCCCTGAAAGACATGTTTGTAATAATGTTTAGGTCATCATATCGATCACTGATTGATCTGCACTGCTATGTAAACAAGTAAAGATGATTACACATATACGACAATATAGACAAAGGCAATCGACCACCACAAAGCAGAGGAATTGTGGCCGAGTGGTTTAAGGTGCTGATCTTGAAATCTGGAGATCCAGAGTTCCCGGGTTCAAACCCTCAATTGCCACTAGCGGATTTTGTTCAACTCCATGGCCATACTATGTATACATACTAAATAACCAACTGGTTAGCCTCCTGCCAGTTGGGAGTATTATCAGTCTGTTTATCGTGTTTAGTTTCTTTTGAAATATTTGTTTCACAGGACTGTTGTACTGCAGTTGTACTGACTGGCCTCCCAATGATTTAAAGCTGCGATTTCAGCGAGTTTTCTGGCACATTACATTTGACGCAACTGAAATGTGACTTATAAATTGGATCTTGAATTAAACTTTTTTTTCTTCCTTTTACATTCTGTCCAAATACTCTGCTCCACTTCCCAGAGGGGACTAATGACTAGCCCCGGACAAATTCACAAAATTCATCCAAAAAAATTGAAGGGTGGCCATTTACATGCACAAATAAGGTCTATGGAAAAATATTTTATTTACTAAATATTTTGAGGTGCAGATGTGCCGGAAATGTGCAGTAATGTTTCAGTTTTGCATACTTTTGTCTAAAACGCTGAGTCAAACTGCAGCAAAATTTAGAGACAAATGTATGGAAAAGTGAAAATGCGACAGGTTATTAACCAGCTACTCACCTCTTCCAGTTTAGTTTTAGGTACACGGCAGATACAGTTTGTACCAAAGTTTGTATCCCTGCACTGAATACATCTTAAACAACACAGGTTTTCATATCCCTGCTTCTTCCATTTAGCTATAAGGTTTTGTCAGCATAGCCTTCCTTCAGACAGAAATCATACAACTCTAAAATTTGGGACAATAAAAAAATGTCAGTTCAAAGAACTTATTTGCTTCAAAATTCTAGAGCAGTTTTCAAGTGATTGTTGAAGGTAATCGCTGAATTGCTTTGTTTTGCTTTAATACTATGCTCTATGATTGGTTTAAAAAACGTGTGCAACCTTCTCAACCAATCAGATGCAAAAACAGAACCAATCGTGACTTGGTCACACGCGTTTTACCACGCTTGACAGCAGTTACATGTACTTGTTTTGAGTTCTCATTGGTTCATTTCCTTGTTTACATTTGTTGTGATTGGCCATTGTAACTGCTTTTGTTTATGGTTTCACGACACTCAATTGAAAACCGTTTTATGTAACATTTGTCACTTGTCATTTGGAAAAGTTTTGTTCCAAGTTTTCAACTGCTCTGTCTAAAGTCCCTCTTATTCCATGTGTCATATCCCCAGTTTTCGTGTTGCCATTTTTTTCTTCTTTTTTTTCGCTTCTTGCTTGATGAACTAAGGTAAAAAGAGGGACTGCTCCTAGTCTACTTTGGAAAGGCAGGTTTGTTCCAAATTCATTGGTTATTGTCAAGTAATGTCTCATTTGATCCATCAATCTGAACAGTAAAATTAAATTCAGTATTCAGACTTTTGGAAGCATGGAGAACATTTAAACTGAAATCATTTGATTATCAAGACTACCCATACACCTGTATATTAAATAACTACAGTTAAAGCTCCCGTAAGCAGACACCCTCAGGAAGCAGAAAAGTGTCCGCGACTGGAGCTTATGGGAATGTGCAAATACAGAGTTTGTATGAACTAGAGTTCAAACAGGGTTTTGTCAAGGCGGCCGTAAGTACCACGTTGAGCTGTCTGCTTATGAGTGTCCACTCAGAGTTGAGCTGTCTGCTTATGAGTGTCCACTCAGAGAGCTTCGACTGTACAGAGTTTGTATGAGCTAGAGTTCAAACGGGGTTTTGTCAAGGCGGCCGTTAGTAGAGCTGTCCGCTTACGAGTGTCCACTCAGAGAGCTTTGACTGTATAGAGTTTGTATGAGCTAGAGTTCAAACAGGGTTTTGTCAAGGCGGCCGTTAGTAGAGCTGTCCGCTTATGAGTGTCCACTCAGAGAGCTTCGACTGTACAGAGTTTGTATGAGCTAGAGTTCAAACAGGGTTTTGTCAAGGTGGCCGTAAGTACCACGTTGAGCTGTCTGCTTATGAGTGTCCGCTCAGAGAGCTTCGACTGTAGTTAAATTCTGAATGAATCCTGTACCTCTGCTGATTGCTTTTCTCTTGTAGAACAGCTCATAAACATAGCGAGACTTCTGGTGATGAATTCTGTATTTGGCAACATACAAAACAAAAAATTACATTAAAGTTAAGCCCCAATGCCCATTTCAAAACAATCGATCAAGCAGCACATGCACAAAATTCATCTGACTCTTGATTAGTATTTTTGTTATTATAAGTACAGTCGAACCTCGTTATTTCGAACTCGGTTATTTCGAACTTCCCATATTTCGAACTAATTTTTGTTTCCCTTGGCCTAAAATCAACCCGGTTATTTCGAACTCTAATTACAAAGTTGATGGACAAACATACTGATTAAATCAGCGTAAATTTGTTGGACTTTTTGTACCTCAAAAATACCCATCCAAATTACACAACTATTCTTGGTTTGCAACTGATGTCATCGCCGCCATGTTGGATGACCATTAACTCATTGCCGACGGCTTACCAGGATTTCGTAACTCCAGTTACGATGACGAAAAAATTTGCCAAAAATTTGTCCCTTAACCGCTTTGCGTGATTTTTTGAGACTGGCGTGACTAGGCTCTAGCCCAGTCCCCTAGCAAGTTTGAACAGGTACATTCTATTGTACGTTACACAACGTATTTTCCCGTAAAGTGATTTTTCAATTTTAAAATGGCGTCTCGTGCGAACGGAACTGGCGATCTTTGGAAATTTTAGCAAGAGTTTTGGACGAGGAAAGTGATCCAGGAGGGATACCAAGCAGTGAGGAAATTGAATTGCATCTGTAGCTCGAAAATCGAGCAAAGAACCAAGATAAGTGTTACGCAATATTGCATCGATCGATCGAATGAACACAAATGCAACTGAAATGATATTTTGATTCGCTTTTTACATTTGAAAACTTGTTTGATGCTTTGAATACATGTTAAGATTCATATTTCAGTATAGGGAGAGGGAAAAACGTTCTTATGGAACGACAGAGATAAATTTCGAGTGGATTGTTGACACAATGTTTGGGGTCAAATTCCTGCATAAATTAAAATGTGACACCAAACTAAAAAATACTAATTTATTCTATACTTACAATTTTCAGCCAAATTTGCAGGATATGTTGCCAATATAACAAGGAACATTTTTGCTCTTAACTTTTCCTTATAACAAGTCATCATTTTGAAATAAGTTGCTTTTTTGTCCAAATTTTGTGGCTATTAATATTAATTTATGCTAGTTAATAATTAACTAATTAAACATATTATGGGTTTCTTTGGGAAATAATTTTTTTTTCCTGAAAGTTTATTTACTACCCTTTCAAAAGAGATATAGCTTTCCACACAATTGTAAATGACTGTTGAGAAAATAAATAAACAAACAATAGTATCAAATTTCACATTTTTGAGGCAGGTGGCAAAGAGTTAACAAAATAATTCTAATTAGCTTTATTGTTCCTGTCATCCAACATGGCCGCCAGGGTCTTTGTCATTTAAATCTCTCGGGAATGGTTGCAAACCAGCAATATACTGAATAATCTCTATACATTGAACCCAACAGTATCAGTAGTTAGTCAAGTATGATCACCGGGCGAGAATTGTCTTGAGAAAGACTGTTATTGGTGAGTCAGCAATAACAGTTTGTCTCAAGATAACTATCTTACGGACGATCACACTGGACCGGCTGGGATGTTGTTGAGAATATTTTATACAGAATTGAAACGATGGTACGGTGTTATTATCTATGAAATCGCGGACAAATACCTAAATATAGGCCACATAGATTCTGTCTTTCGTTTTCCTTCATGTGGTTCTGTCTCAGCTGAAGTACAAGAAATAAAAAATAACCCGATTGAGGAGTTATAAACAACGCAGACTCGATTCGAATAATTTCCACAGTCTGATCGAGAAGTTTAAAGCTTATGTATGGTTGTTTACCTTCTCGCATTTCTGATCCAGTTCATCGAGCGTTGGTTCAATCAGTTTCCCATCCCTCAGGCGGGGTTTTCTACTGCGACGTACTTTAGGCATTTTTTGCTGTTAAAAAACGTGTTGTAAAACTCAACAACGTTCTCTTCTCTCTTTCTTCCTCTGGTTCTTCCACCGCTAGAGCCCAGGCCTTTCTCTTTCTGCACGACAGCGCATGGCATACATGCAAGTGGATTTCTCTCTGGTCCATCAAAGACTGCAGGCTCGAAGATCAACCTCGTTCCCAGGATCTCTCTTTCCCCGCCCCACGAGGTTGGTGTAACGTGGCATTTTTGTTGCGCTCGCGATAGCTGCGATTTTCAGTGCGATTTGGTCGTGATTTCAGCGTGATATCGCCTGAGGTTTTGAAACGACTAAAACGAAACCATCTTTGTTTATAATTATCACGTTTCAGAGATAGACCTTTCCAGATTGTGCTCCCAAAAAGCTAAAAAAGTGCTCCCAAAAATGCCCAAAAGATGCTTAAAAAGTGCTCCAAAATCAAAATAGTGCTCAAAAGTTGCTCCAAAAATTAAAAAAGTGCTACCGAATATTTTTCAATTATTTGAAAGAAAAGATGCTTTCCAATTTAGATTTGCCAACTAAAAGGCAAGTTTCCATTGAATACAAGTCAATAATTGCACAAATAACGAATAATACTTTTATTAAATAAATGCGTTAGAGTAGTTTCCATAAACCTGTGAAACACACTTTAGCGTATAACAACTTATAAATACTTTTGTTCTCTTTTGTGTTTTCTTACCTTCTACTCTTTACCTTCAACACTAATATTTCACGGGTCAGTATGGAAACCACTCTAAAACAATGTTCATTATATAATACCATATCTGCTTTTCTGGCTAACATTATTAGAATTCATTCTAGAAAATGAGTAAAGCCTAAGACAGATTATATAAAGAATCAACTAATCCATCAATTAGCTAGTTAAATAGAATAAATTCATTTTGAAAACATAAAATAAAATAAATATTAATAAAAAAATAAATATTGAATGTTTGTTTTTTACTTAATCAAAGCTAACAAAACTTGACAACAAACTTAACTATATCAAT